AACGAGATAATATACAGAAAGAAAAAAAAACAGTATCGAGAAAAACAAGACAGAAGAATGTTGTGTTCCAGATCTAAAACAGTGTTCATACTCTTTTCATTTCTTCTTGTCGCCACTGGAATATCTATTGCTGGTAAAGAAAGAAAGATTAATTCAGCAATAACTGCTGGTTTCTTGTATTTTGATTTTGTGTTGATATTTATTTTTGGGATTGGATTATTTTCAGAAAAGGAAACAAGTGTTGAAGAATGGAGGACAGGTGTAAAAGAAAGGTTTATGGCAGAGGAAAATGGACAGAACTCGTCTCTGATTTTGGCTGCAAAGAGAACAAAGAGGAAAGATCCTACTGAGAATTTCAGCCTTTACACTGGTGGATGGAACATAAGCAATACCCATTATTGGACCGTGAGTCTTTATTTCTGTGGTCCTAAAGTTTTCTCTGTTGCAAGTTGGGTTTTGATTAAAGGCTTTCATCTCTAGCTAAGTGGAATCTGTTTGACTTTTGACCTTTTTTTTCTCAATATTCTTTGCTTGTGGTTGGTTGCAGTCTGTTGCGTATACAGCGGCACCTTTCTTCGTGATAGCAGGAGTATGGTTTGTTGTCTTCGGCCTATCATTGTGTCTCACTTGCCTTTGCTATTGCTGCTGCGCACGTCAGCCTTACGGCTATTCCAGGATTGCTTATGCTCTCTCCCTTATCCTCCTCTTATCATTCACAATCGCTGCAATGTAACCAAAATTGTCTTTCTCTGCCTCTCTTCTTTTGTCATCTTTTTTAATAAGTTGTCTTTGTGGTTTGATATTTCTTTCTAGTGTGGGATGTGTTTTCCTTTACACGGGTCAAGGGAAATTTCATGCTAGCACATCAGATACTTTGGACTATGTGGTGAGACAAGCCAATTTCACGGCGGACAGCCTCAGGAATGTGTCAGATTATCTCAATGCAGCTAAGAAGATTGATGTGCAATCCATCGTTCTTCCAGGGGATATTTTAACGAGCATAGACAACTTACAAGGAAAGATCAACTCCTCTGCAACTACTCTTTCTGTCAAGACAATGGAGAACCAAGACAGGATTCAAAATGTTTTGGACACCATGTAAACATTACAGTACCATCCTCTCTATTTTCATCTGTTTTTTCACCTTTTTGTTCTTATGGTTTTGTCTCTTTATTTTGTTGCAGGAGACTTGCGCTCATCATCATCGCTGCTGTGATGCTTTTTCTTGTGTTTATTGGATTCTGTAAGTCGTTTGGTTGTAGACATCCGCTAGTTCTTAGCCTTTGAACCAAACTAACCGAAATTAACCCAAATTACCTGAATTTAACCAGTTTTACCCAAATTTCTAACTGAAATATAATCAAAACCAAAAACATGGGTTAGTTTCGGTAAAATTTTAAAAACCGAACTACCCAAATACCGAACCAAACTTTTCTACGGTTCAATTTGGCGAGATTTTAATCGAACCGAGCTACCCGAAAACCAAACTATTCTTAGGCATTAGTATTGATTACATCTAGCAGCATTTAACTTGTTTCATTGTGATTACATTACAGTACTCTCCATCTTTGGACTGCAGTGCCTTGTATATACGTAAGTGAAGTCTTCACTCTCATGTTCCAAATGTTAACCGTTTTTATGTTAGATAAATCATTTGTGATTAACAATGGACAGGTTGGTGATCTTTGGTTGGATTCTTGTCACCATCACTTTCGCCTTGTGTGGTCTATTTCTGCTTCTACACAAGTGAGTTTTGTTCAATTTTGTGTCTACCCCAAATGCATTTAAAAAGGTTTTATCAAAAGAGTCAAAAATATTTCTTATGCTTTTGTCAGCGTTGTTGGGGACACGTGTGTGGCCATGGACCAATGGGTGGCAAACCCGACAGCTTACACCGCTCTAGACGATATTCTACCATGCGTTGATAACGCAACAGCGAGCGAGACATTGAGTCAGACAAAGCTTGTAACGTACCAGTTGGTTGTCATTGTTGACAATATCATCAACAACTTGGCCAACAAGAACTTCCCGCCTCAAGCCGCACCCTTTTATTACAACCAGTCGGGCCCACTAATGCCTTTGCTCTGTAACCCTTTCAAAGCCGATCTCTCTGACCACCAATGCAAGCCCGGTGAGGTTCATCTGAACAATGCAACAGAGGTAAAACCTAATATTCCTAAACCATGAAAAATACTAAATTAATACAGAAGAACATGTCTTTGTAATTTTTTTTTTTTTGTGTTCATAATATTTTTCTTATGATATGGTTTTGATGCAGGTGTGGAAGAACTACACTTGCCAATTTATAAAACCTGGAACATGTAGCACACCGGGACGTCTGACCCCAAAGCTGTACACACAGATGGCTGCAGCAGTTAATATAAGCTATGGTCTGTACAAGTATGGTCCATTCTTGGCAGATCTGCGAGGGTGTAACTTCGTGAGGTCCACATTCACTGATATTGAAAGGGATCATTGTCCGGGACTGAACAGATACACGAAGTGGATCTATGTGGGTCTTGTGGTCGTGTCTACTGCTGTAATGCTGTCTTTGGTGTTTTGGGTTATATACGCACGGGAGAGGAGGCACCGGGTTTACACAAAGGACTACAATGCTATGCATTCTGAAGCCCCACGGGACAAGGGCCCGCAGTGAGATGTCTATTATGTATTTCTGTCGGTTTTGCAGTGTAAATTATGTGTGTGAGAATTTGGTGATCTTGTGTTTAGTAATGATGGGAAGAATCTTTTGGTTGTGTGATTGTTGTCATTAATGTTCTTTAATCTTTATAATTGATATGTTGAGAACTACGTCGAAACTAGAGATGTATTGCTTTGTGGAAGTACGGCCCTATCTTTGTGTTTCTTGTCTGAGAGGACAATCAACTTAGTGTGAGACAAATCTTTATTACTAGTATTGCTTACCAAAAGCACTTCTTGATACGACTTCCAATAGGTGCAATGTCTTGAATCACTTGAAGATAGACGACTGAACCTCGAGACTACTATTACTTGTGGATGAACGGCGAGTTGTTGATGATTTGATGGATTTAAAGGCTAATAGTATTTTGAATGGTCGATGATTTCTTCACACAAGGTTAATTAAGAGTCTTGTGTTGTTGTGATGTGCGTTACGGTTACCTAAGAGTAAGAGTGTAATCTCGTTTGTTGGTGTTGAATGGGTAAATCTTCGTAATGATTGAAAGCTGCTGCTCCAAAATGAACAAAGGGATAGAAAGTGTTAAAAAGACTTGTTTTGTAAAAGTTTAAATTTATTGGTACTTTGTAAAAAGATTACAAGATGAGCTTATAAAGAAAATAACATGACCGACTTGAAATTCTAAACCTATTCCTAATTGGTTTGGTAAGAAATCTTAAAATGCCTAGGTAAATTGAGAGAGTAAACCAAGTGGTCAGCCCTCTATAATATTTCTCTAATCTTAAATATTAAGACCATCTCCAATGATGTATTATTTTGAGGGAGTTAACACTATTTACAAATTCTTTTTTTCCTTTAAAATGATTCACCATTAAAAAAACATTTCTCTCATTTTAATGTTTTTTCTTCATTTTCTGTCAAAATTTTTTTATTTATAAATTAATTTTTATTTTTATGTAATTTTTAATATAAAAATTCAATATTTATGTTTTATACTTTAAATAAATTATTAATACTCTCATAATAAATTTATAATTTTATATAAACTCTTGTATATTTTTTAGAAACTAAACTTATGTACATAATGAAGATTAATTTAAAATAATATTTGAGTAAAATTCTTAAGTTTTATAAAATTATAATCCTTATTAGAACTAACAATAAGTAGTAATAACTTAATATCTACTCTATTAAAATAGAGTCATTCTTTTTATCTACTGATATAAGTTGTTATTTAAATTTGGACTCTTTCTAGAATGTTACAAATAATACAAGTCATATAGTTGATTAAACCGCATTACTTAAATTAAACCGGCAGTTATTTATGAAATAGAGTTTTGGGCTTACTTTTGTATTTATGAAAAATTATATAGTTTGGATTTTGGACTTAGTATTAAAGAGAAACTCCCAAAAAAACATTGAATAAATGTTCTACCTTAATGGATCAAAAATCAATTACTATTTTAAGGTCCAAGTATTTAATATTTTAAGAAAACAAAATTAGATATTATTAATCACTTATTTAAATCATGTACTTTAAAATATGTTAATATTTTTTTATATTTTAAATAACAATCACTCTGTTTTGATAAATTTCAATGGTAACTTTTATAATAGTTTATTTTTTTATTTTTCTTAAATAATTTACTGATTTAGAAAAAATAAATGTAAAGCAAAACTAAAACCAAATCTAAAAATTAAAATCCAAAACCAAAAGCTGAAAACGCATGTTATATTTTTGCGTTTGTTTTGTTTATTTACAAAATAAACTATTGCAATTGTTTTAAATAAAAATTGTCATCTTTTCAGTTTTAAATTAGATATTCGATTCTTTGGGATTTGTTTGTTGGTAATTATGAGTTCACACTAACTCAGCGGATCTAAAAGCTAAAAACCCAAACCAAAAGCTGAAAATCAAAACTAGAAACTTAAAAATTAAAAACAAAAACCAAATCTAAAAATAAAAACTGAAACTAAAAACTAATGCAAAACAATCATCACCACAAATTTTGGATTACTGATTTTATGCCAAAACATACTTTAAATAAAAACAAAACCTAATTATACAAACTTTTAATCAAAAAAAATTCTCGCGCTTTCAAGCGCGGGTCAAAATCTAGTTTAAAATTATTTTTTGAGGAGAAAAATGTGGGAAATCACCATGGGAGATGCCCTAGGAGCAAATTATGGAATAAATGATTTTTCATTTTTCACCAATCAAATTTTTTTATTTTCATCCCTCGAAATCGAAATTAATTGTGCCTATATATGAATGAACCTAACCCCTTTTGTTAATTATGACATCAGAACCTAACCTTAAATACAAAAACCCTACACGGACCAAAATCTAGGGTACTTGACCCGTTGACCGGATCTAAGCTATTTAGGTTTCCCTCACTCCCCTTTTAACCAAACTTTAAGGCTTTCTGTCTCCTCATCTCTTACAGTGACTCCTCTTCGAGTAGATATGGAAGTGGTTGCCTTCAGGTCAATGGAGACGCAGACAAAACAGTCATGGGCTTGTTCTGTCACTGAGACGCTTCTCTTCCTCGTTGGAAAGAATCTGGCTTGTCTGCTCCTCGCGGTATACAACAGTTTCCTTACTTTTGCTGAGATTTGTAACTCTTATTTCACTTTGTCTTCTGTTGGATTTGTCATTTACTCTAAGCCGAAATCGAATCTATCCTGTAGATGTCTCTCTGTTCCTGAATCCAAGGATTATTAGATTTTTCATACTCAGATTTCTGCTTTAGGGATAAGGTTTTGGCTTTTGTTTGAATTTAGACAAGCCCTTTAACTTCTGTCTTTAAATGGTTCGAGATGGGTCTTTGGACAATTGCAGTTGAATGCAGATTTGAACAATGTCAAGTGTACACTCCCTGTTTCACTTTTACTTTTTGTCTCTTTGTAATTGTTATTTATATAATGATGTGTTCTCCTTGGATTTTGTATGATAGAGCAAACACACAAAGAAGAGACTTTCTTTGAGAAAGTTTAGACCTTTACAGATTGACTTTAGGTTATTGTGTAACCTTTGAGATTTTCTTTTGTAATTTCAGTGTTTGTTTGTTCTGTGCTATATTTTGACATTTGTCATATTCATTATCCTTTTTAAGCTTGTGTTCTCGTTGAACTTTGCATTAATATGTCTTAGTTCTCCTATCCATTTAAGCTGGTTTGTCACATATAGAAAGCTCAGTATTGTATAAATTTCATAAAACCTTGTTTAACATTCATCCTTTTGTGTGATATCACAGGCAGAATCTTTGCTGATTGGGTTGATTGCTGAAGATCAGAGGTGAATGAATGAATATAAGGGCCACCTACACCTTTCATTTTTTTTCCTTTTCTTTTTTATTATTCTAATAGATCTGAATGTCTTTTCTCTAGGCTTTCTGTGAAGGAGGGCTTCAAAAAAGGACGCCGAGATGAGGAAAACAAAGATGGCAGCGACTCTGATGATGACGACGATGATGATGACAACGCGGATGATGACGATGATGATGATGATGATGATGATGCTAATGATGAAGATTTTTCAGGGGATGAAGGAGAGGAAGCTGATCCAGAGGATGACCCGGTGACCAATGGTGGAGGAGGAAGCGATGATGATGATGACAAGGATGATGAGAGTGATGATGATGACGATGATGATGATGGAGATGAGGACGATGAGGACGAAGATGATGATGATGAGGAAGATGACGAGGATGTTCGCCAGCCCCCTGCTAAGAAGAGAAAATGAAAACATGAGAAAGAGAAGAGTGTTAAAGACTTGAAGAGGATCATCATGTGTGTTGGTTTAAGTAGTGTATGGGAAACTTATGCTTCATGTTGTTGTGTTACTATTTGTTGTCGTGTGTGACTTTTGAACTTGGATTTTAGTTATCTTGTCTGCGTAGAATATTGGTCTCTTCTTTTTGTTATTGAATATGATTCGCTGTGCTTCACTTTTTCTTTGATGTTGCCATTTTTCTTTCCATTGTTGCTGATGTTTAGTAGGAAACGCTACTAAACCTACTCCTTCACGTAAGAGCATTGGTAAGAGACTTACGTAGAATTCTCAAACTTTCGACAAGTTTTCTCCTCTGTTGTAAACAGTTCTACGTTAGTGAAACGTAAATCAGGAAAAACAATGTTTGGTTTTATGCAAATCTACCCTTGGAGGCCATGAACACCAGACAAGGACCCGACTTCAACCAAGTCCAGCTTACTGTGACTACTGGTTTCCACAACTTCCTGAGTAGCTGAAAGATCGATTCCAACACCACACAGAACCAATCAAATCATGACCAGGTTATTATATTGTGTATTGCAACAGTTTGAGCAATATATGTTAAGCTAAAGATCATGTTCATCTTGAGAGAACCAAACATATTTGATGTGTGGTATTACTTCTTGCGAGATGAGAAGCGACCTAAAGTGAAGAATGTAGAAAGTACAGATAATCATGTTGACATGTTCAATAGACAGGTTCTTCACAGTAAGTTTATGAGAAGATTTTGTCAAGGTGGAAATTTGTTAATACGCCTTAATTCTAGAAGTTGCATCTAATTGTTGGATGTTGCGTCAAAACATTTTATAATCACATTGTAGTCCAAGATTTCATACTTGGCTAATTACTTTTGTTACCCTTTCTCTGTACTATGTGTACTCCCTTCGTGGGATTTCCGCAGATATATAAAGTTATGAACTATAAGAAGTGATGCAATGAATATATGAAGAAGTGTACCAAGACGCGATACAGCTTAGGAGAACATTCAAATGCTTCTAAGAAATAGTACAAACTGAGATCATCCAATTCAGTAATAAACTTTATTGTAGTCAAATACAACTTGAGTCATGATGGACACCGAATCCCGTGAACCGATAAGCCAGTGAACCGATAAGCCAGCTTCAAACTGGATCCACCGTTTCTCCAATCTCAGATAGATACTCCACCTATTCAATGCACATCATAGTAAGTTAAGATTTATAGAACCAAACAAAATAACAAAAATTAGAGGAAGCTTTTCACAGCATCCATGTGAAGATTCCAATCTTTTGGTGTACACCAGAGGGTGGTATATTACTATATGCATTGCAGGATTGACAAGTGACGACTTTCAAGTACTCTAGTTCGTCAACTGAAATTAATTCAATGCGTGGCCTACTTACACCAAGGTGTCATTTATAGAACCAAACTCCGAATTAGATCTTTATTATGGAAGTTCACAAATTCAAGACCTTTCAATTACAATAAAGCAAACAAGCAGATCCTATACAAATGCTAGCAAAAAGGTTACAAAGGAACATTCTATAGTATAACTTAAAAAACAACATCTCTTCAAAACACACAACTTGTAACAACTCTATGACATTTTCTAACGAATTCAATTTAAAAATAAAAATAAACAAACAAGCTGAGAACATAGGAGACTTACTAACCATCAGTCAAGGAAGCTTCCCCGACCGGAAAACAGCAAACTTCGTCATGTCCGAATCCTTAAACTCAACTTTATTCAACACAAGAAATTCCTCAATCATCGTCTTAACACGTTCTGGTTCCTCAGTCTCACACTCAATCTCATAACAATTCCCAAAAGCAAACTTAGTCTCATCAACCTCAAGCTTCACACCTCTCCACTCATAAACATTCCTCACATTCTCGAACCCACCCAAACAAACAAACCCTCCAAAATCTTCAAACCCATACTCCTCCCTAACCCTCTTCAAAACCCTAGACCCAAGATCCGATAACCTAGACGGAGTATCCACACATTCTTGAGCTAACCCCGCATCGATCTCCTCCTCGTCTTCCTCCACGCGGCTGATCCCGTTAGCCAGCGTCGGTTTCGCCTTGAGAGAGAGGACACAACGCTGCTGCGACGGAGGAGACGGAGGAGTAGCCAGGGAAGCGTTGTGGAGGAAGCGGAGGCGGAGGACGGCGCGGCGGAGGGAGAGGTCGTTGGTGGGAGTGTCGAAGAAGAGGTTGCGTTGGTGGAGGGTTTTGAGGTGGAAGGGAGTGAGGAGAGTGGTGAGACGGAGGTGAGCGGCGGCGGTGAGGAGACGGAGCTTGACTTCGACTTCCATTTGAGTTTTTAGGAGGAAGAGGAAGAGGAGATGCCGATTCTGTCGGATTTGGAGGAAGGGTTTTGGTGTTTTGTTGGGTCGATGAGTTGTTGGAGGAGGGAGGAGGATGAGGAGGGAGGAGCGGTGGTTGGTTCGGATTTGCGGGATTGGTCGAGTTCTTCGCGGTCTTGGATTATGAGTTGGATCTTTGTGGGTTTTCTTCTCAACATGTCGGGATTTGTGTGCTCTGTATTGTCTCTCGAGTCTTTGGTTTTGTCTTGAATTAGGGTTGTTGCTGCGAGGGACTCATCGGGCCCCGCCCGTTTAATATTCGGGTCGTTTTTCCAGATCCGCACGTTTTAGGATATAGCCTGATTTTTTTGAGTGGAGTTTGTGTAATTGTTGACTTATCTGACTAAACCGGAAATTACAGTCCAAATAAACCTTGATTGGGTGTAGTCACCTTAACCACAAATTGAAAAGAAGACTTTGTTATCTTTTATGTTGTTCTCTGTCTTTTGTTCACGTAATATGTTATATGTTCTTAGTTCACTTTCTAATGTTGTGCAGTGCCGTGCTTGCTAAAGAGTTTTTAAAGCCTTCGCTTAGGGCAACATTTTTATGTTTATAAGGCATCTTTACAAACATATTGATACTATAGTTAATTGGTTAAACACGTTTTGCTAAGTATTTTTACTTTACCTAAATTACAGTTAATATTTAAGATTGGTTATATCTATCTACAATTACCCTCAATTTTTTTAAATAGTTAGTTATAATTATATATATTTCAGAAACCTTGAATTTTATTATTTTTTGTGGAAATACGTTATCATTTATATTTTATATATATTTAAAACCAAAAGTGTATTTCTATAATATTTCTAAAATATTTGGCTTATGGCATAAAAATCTCTAGGCACGGCTCTGTGTGCTTAGTTATGTGGCTGGTGACGCTGGTCTAAGGTGTGTCCGTGTGTGTAGGCTTCCTATTGGGCACTTCTTATATAGCTGGTGTAACAGTATTTTACGGACGAATGCATGTAGTTGTGGACTCATTAGGGCTGTTCGTTTGGTTGACGCAGGTGGCTGCGTCGGCGTCGGCGTCAATTATTTTGACAAATCATGTTCGTTTTGTTGACGCGGATAATTGCGTCTAGACGCCGCGTTTAACGCTGCGTCCCGCGTTTAAAATTTTTTGACGCCGATTTTATCAGCGTTTTGACGCAGATTTCTGCGTTAATAGATGTAATTACGCGACTACCCTTACAATACCTCATTATTTACCAAAAGACCTAACCCTAATCTCATCTCTTTTGACGCAGCTTCAGTGACGCTGGACGCCGAATCTCATCTCTCGTCTCTCTCTCCCTCTCAGACCTCTCGTCTCTCTCAGGCTCTCAGGCTCTCTCACTCTCGACCTCGGACATCTCAAGCTCTCTCTCTCCATCTACACATCTCCGAAATCATCTCATCTCGAAGCTCTCTTCTCCATGGTGTCTCATCTCGAATGAAGCCTAGCCTCAAGCTTCGTCTCTCAAGCTCTCCCAAGCTTCTCACTCCATCTCGAGCTCTCTCTCTTCTCTGAAGCAAACCCATCTCGAGCTTCTCTCTCTCCGACGCCTCAAGCTCTCTCCCTTGACGCCTCAAGCTCGAGCTCTAGCTCTCTCTTCTCACTCCATCTCGAGCTCTCTCTCTTTGAGGTAAAAGTCTATTGTTCTCTCTCTCTTTGTTCTCTATCTTTTAGCTCTGTTTTATTGTTCATTGTGATGGTTTTTGTGTGA